GGACGCCCCTGGCCCCCTGTCATTTTTGCCCCTCTCACCCCCCGTTATGTCCAAATCTATATCAGGCAAGAATGGGACAACATTCCTCTCCCAAAACTCCAGCAACAGGTCTCCTCAGTTCCCAGACCTTTACAGAGTGTTGTTAAAAGAAGATGCTACCCTCTGGTAAATATAGTCCTGTCCCAACTTTTTTAAGACGTGTCACTGCCAATTAATTTCAACATTACCTTCTTTTTTTTAATTAAAATTGTCAATTTTCTCAGTTTAAACATTTGATATGTTTTCTATTTTCTATTGTGAATAAAATCTGTGTTTATGAGATTTGCATTCTGTTTTTATGTAGATTTTACACAACCTACCAACTTGTTGGGGGGAATTGGGGTTGTATTTTTCCTATTAAAATGTCTTTCTTTATTTATTTAATTATTATTTTTTTTCCTTTTTTTCTTTTTTTTGCATTAAATAACATGAAAAGCAAACTTTTTTTTTTTTTAATTTGCAAATAAATTTGCCACGCTTTGTACCAGAAACATAAACCTATAAGGCCTAGTGTCATTTTAAAGTGACATTAAACTCTCAGACTTTTTAACATAAACCAATACTGTAATGTGCGCCTTACTGTAATCCATGGTAGCTTCCCTTCTCTTTGCTGCTCTTCCTTTTAAATCCTCATGTCTTCTCATGCTGGGGGAAAACTTCCCTTTGCAGCTGACTGCCTCTTCCTGTAGTGCTGGCTCAGGTTACAAGCCCATACAAACCTATACACAGACACCGTGTATCCATTCCAGAGACAAGGCACTCAGCTGCAAAACAGAAGTTCTCCCCAGCATGAGAAGAGATACGGATTTAAAAGGAAGAGCAGCAAAGAGAAGGGAAACAACCATGGATCACAGTAAGGCGCACATCACAGTATTGTTATATGTTAAAAAATCTGAGGGTTTAATGTCACTTTAAGTGGGAAAAATTAATAAATAAAATATATACCTTTTTAACAGTAAAACTACTTTTTTTTTTAACTAACACTGGTCAAAACAGAAAACAATGCACTTTTTTTTTTTTTAATTATGTCATTTTTTTTTCTCCTATATATCCCATAGAAAATAAAATATTTTTTGCAAAACAATATTGCCAAATGAAAGCTTAAAGTATAATTAAAGCCTCTGTTTTTTTTTTTTTTTTTTGCATATGTCTGCTGCTGCTGCAAAAAAAAGTAGATATATGCAAATGCGCATGCGCAGTTCGGATTTTCGGCCGGGAGACGAGGAGCGACCCAAGGTAAGTCTATGGACGGTGTGCACCCGCATGCAGACACCGTGGGACAGGAAGTGCTGGATCAGAAGAGAGGAGTCAGCACTGGATCGGAGACTCGCCGGAGGGACAGATGAAAGAAGAGAAGGATCGGATTAAGAAACATCATTTAAGGTAAGTGCTGACATTAACATTGGGGGGAGGGAAAAAAAGTTATCCTTTCATGTCACTTAAATTTTTTTTCCCAAAAACCAATGTAGGTATCTCTGTAAAAAATAAGTCAAGGCAACTGGATTTGCTGTATTTTTCTTGAAGACGTCTCACTGGTCATCCGACCAGCTTTCTCAAATCAACAATCCCATTGTGTTAGAGAACTATGAGATGAGTTATTTCCACTCACCTCATAGTTCTAGCCGACCTGTGACAATGAGACTGTCACAGGTCGGCTCAGTAGATCGGGAGGTGAGCGAACAGGGGAGGGGCTGGATTCCCCTCTCCCCGCTCCGATCTGCCAGCGCTGACTGGCGGAACGGACGGGGAGGGGGCGGGTACAGCTGGCTCTGCCTCTAGATAGGCAGAGCCAGCTGTCACTCACGCAGCTGGGCGGATCTCGACATCGATGTCGGGATCCGCTCCGGCGTCTCAGTATACCGCGAGCTGCAGGACGCAGTATACTGAGCTTAGGGTGACGGGAGGACGCTAGTTTGTGTCCTCCCGTTACCCTAAGGAGAACTATGGGGAAAAGCCCTGACCCCATAGTTCTCCTTTAATGTAAAAATTCCGCCGGTTTGTAGGGGTATTCTGGTACACGAGGGCTGAAGTTTCCATATGTTGATGTAATGTCCACCCGTGTATTCACAATGGGCGGACTGCAAGTGGTTAACATGAAAGACTGAGGACATCTATTGACAGCCTATTGCATCTATCAGTGGAAACATCGGAACTCAATCATTTGGAGAGGTGTTTATATACATTCAGCCATACTGTGTATCTTGGATAGTACTATCCACTATTATTATTATTATTATACAGGATTTATATCGCACCAACAGTTTGCGCAGCGCTTTACAATATAAGGAAGACATTACAATCACAATACAATTCAAGAGTCAGAGGGGGGTTGCAGACACTGAGCGCTTGGTCAGGTGAATTAGTCTAGCAGCTGCCTTCATGATAGACTGACGGGGGGAGGAGCCTGTGTAGAGGTAGGCCAATGAGGAGGGAGTTGCACTATACACTATAGTCTCGTGTTTGGTTTCCCACCAAGCCTTCTACTTCTGTGGAGCTTTATGTTCTCACCAGTTTGTCTTTACTTCCTCCAGGGTTCCAGTCCCCTTCCACAGCACAGAAACAGAATTGGTAACTTACATGGTATCTGACCGAACTGTCTCCAATAGAAATTTCTCTTTGAAAGAAGTCCGGCAATCCGGTTCCATATCTTGCCAAGCAATGGTCATGGTGGATTGACAGTATCCAGTGAACGTATTGGGAATATATCATTAGAAACTGGTGCACATCCTAAATTGCTTTTACTTCAATCAAATCTCAACTTTTTGTTATTAGGAAAACATTACTCTTACTCCCGAAAATGCAAAATGTCACATCTGGTCACCCAACGGTGCTGTTTCTCAGTTTTGGAGACATGCTGTCCACGAGATACATCTACAGTGTTATAGCATGCTTTGTCTATGGGCTGATCGTCTTATTTAATGGCTCAGTGATCTCCGCCGTAGCTTTGCACAAATCCCTGCAAGAGCCCATGTACATTTTTATAGGCGTCTTATGCGTCAATGGATTATACGGGAGCGCCTCCTTTTTCCCCGGCCTTATTGTGCAATTGTTCTTCAGTATAGAAACCGTTTCCTACATTGGATGCGTTATACAGGTCTACTGTATCCATACCTACTTAGGATGCGAGATGACCTTACTAACCGCTATGGCGTATGACCGTTATGTATGTATCTGCAACCCTTTGAGATATAACCACATTATGTCCTTGAACACGGTTCTCAAACTGGTTGCCGCGGCCTGGTCGTACACGATCGTCCTGGTCAGCATTCATATTGTGTTGACGATTCGGCTTCCACTCTGCGATAACATTATACTGAAGATATACTGCGACAACTGGTCCATCGTGAGGCTCGCTTGTGTAGATACCACAGTGAATAATGGCTTTGGCCTCTTTATCGCCTCTACGTTCATTGCCTTAATGCCCATGCTGATCATCTGCTCATATATTAAGATTCTTAAGGCCTGCGCCCGCTCCTCAAAAGACTTTCAAGCCAAGGCTCTTCAGACCTGCACCCCTCACTTGATTACCATCACCAATTTTGTTTGCAATTTGTTTTTCGAACTCCTCGTGTATCGCTTTATACCTACGGAATTCCCATATGAGCTGAGGGTGGTCATGTCCGTCCAGGTCCTTGTGGTGCCACCTATTCTTAACCCTTTAATTTACGGACTGAAGCTGAAAGATATCAGGGTTAAGATCCTTTATATCTTCCACTTAAGGGAGAGCAAAGTTCATGGCAACCAATTGTAGCATATTACATAGATGAAGAAAATAAAGATATGGAAGTTCTATTTTTAAGGAGAAGGTGTATTGATTTTGTATATAGTTTCTGTCTTTTTTAGAGTCGGGACTAAAAGCTTAATAGCTCAAGCTGAAATTAAACACCCAACTGAATCAATCAAAGCTCTGACTCCTCCCCCTTCTCTGTTTAGAACGGTGGTTCTCAACCTGTGTAACATCAGGACCCACATTTGTCCTTGGCCATTAAGTCGTGACGCAAGTTGCACTGCAATGGAACGCCCGGCATTGTGGTACAGATCAACCCAGTCTCACTATCTTATGAGAACTGGAGTGGATCCTCTAGCCTGGGGTCCAGTGTGGGCTGCTGTGCTGTGATAGAGCTCCATCCATATGTACATTGCTTGCACAGCTCCCTTGCGTGTCCTGTAGAGATGCCAGGACACAGAATGTGATGTCACTCCGGTCCAGGCACCTCTGTAAGGCACGCGAGGGAGCTGCAAGCAATGCACAGATGGATGAAGCTCCCTCGCGGCCATGGCCCCATCCATATGTTCATTGCTTGCACAGCTCCCTTGCGTGTCCTGTAGAGGTGCCAGGACACAGAATGTGATGTCACTCCGGTCCAGGCACCTCTGCAAGGCACGCGAGGGAGCTGCAAGCAATGCATATATGGATGAAGCTCCCTCGCGGCCATGGCTCCATCCCACCCCACCTCACCTCAAGCTGACACTCGGCACCAGGCAGCATATTTTGAATGGCTGCTTGGCCCGAGAACTGATAGTGTTGAGCTAGGGGGAGGCTAGGGAGCCTCTTCTACAAAATTGGATGGTATGTGGTGACCCACTGAACAAGGGCTCCCGACCCACTTTTGGGTCACGACCCACCAGTTGAGAACCAAGGGTTTAGAAGGACCATCTGAAATCTCAATCACAGAGAGAGTCTGAAAGCAAGCAGCTTCTCTTCTACTTTCTTTATAGAAAACCCATAATGCCCTGCAAATTCAGAGTTACGGGTGTACCCTGTGTGTAATGTTTATTTGTAAACTAAAAATTTTCAAGACATAGAAAAAAATGCATATAAAACATCAAACTAAAAAGCTTCCCAAAATTGACCCCAAACTGTCATAGTTTATGTTCTATAAGATTGTTCTAATAACACTATAGCCCCAATACAGAATTTGACCATATGTAATCCTCTCCTGACGTAGATCCTTTTAGTGCTTATGGGGACACTGGGTACCAGTTATGCTTTTTTTAAGTCTTCAGACCAGTCCTGTGATGTGCAGGATCCTTTTCCTCTATGGATCATACCCTTGCGGTGGTGGGTACCCAATGATGCAGAAGACAATGCTGATATGATGACCATAACACCACCTTCTGGCACCCTACACCACGTCCATGACACCCTACACTCCTAGAATGTCTTCAGTCTTCCAGGTTAACTATGCATATTGGGGCAAAAATAATTGACTGTGGGGGGAACAGTACCGGACAAGCAGTGAGTATTGCAATAAGAGCTGCTTTCTTTATTTTACCTCTTACTTGGGCACCTTAAAAAATACTAGGGCTGTTACTGATTAAAATTTTCGTGTCCGATTAATTGAAAAAAAAATTTACTCGATTAATTATAACACACATACAGATCCAACTACATTGGCCTATACACATACAGCACAGCAGTGAAGTAATAAAATGAACTAGGATCACACTAATCCAGCACGTTATTAATCTCACGTGCCTCACTCAATATGGCCGCCGCTTGAGTGAGGCAACTCAGAATAATAACGTGCTGGATTAGTGTGATCCTAGTTCATTTTATTACTTCATTGCTGTGCTGTATGTGTATAGGCCAATGCCTTGGCTGGCGCTCGTGCAGAAAGTTTCTTGGGCAAACTCACGGGCCCAAGTGGCTCCGACGGCTAACGAAGGGAAGGGAGGAGGAGTCCGGGGACGTCACGGACATCGACATCACCGGACTCCTCCCCCCTACGCTAGCCGTCACGGACATCGACGTCACCGGACTCCTCCCCCCTTCCCTTCGTTAGCCGACGGAGCCACTTGGGGAAGGAGGAGGAGTCACCAGATCTCCGACGGGACTCCCGGAAGCCGTCGGAGAGGTAAATATTTTCACTAGCAAAATAATTTTAATCGATCAAAAAGTTTAACGATTAATCGAGAAATTAATCGTTAATTTCCACAGCCCTAAAAAATACAAATAAAATAACCCAAAGTTGGGCTTTTAAAAATGGTAATTATAATTGTGTCAATATACAGAATAGGATTTTGTAGGTTAGCACCTCGCTCTCTCTTCCTTCCAGTGGTGTATTGCCAGATGAAAAAAAGTAGGGGTGCAGCGATACCAATACTAGTATCGGTGCAGATACTCGCCCAAATGCTCCGATACTAACCTCCGATACCGTAAGTTCTGGTCAGAGGGAGATCTCCCTCTGACCGGCAGTGCCGAGGGAGCATGGAACCATCTTCCTTTCAAATCAGGGAGCCGGGCGGTTGGGTTTGGTAAGTAGCCTGGCTTCCTAACCAATCAGGAAGCCGGGCGGCATGTAATGACCCACCTCCTGGCTTCTTGATTGGTCAGAAAGCCAGGTTGCCTAGGAACGTGCCGCCCAGCTTCCTGATTGGCTAAGAAGCCGGCTTCACTTGTTGGTAGGCAATCAGGAAACCAGATGGCACCTCATGACTCACCGCCCGGCTTCCTGATTGGTCAGGAAGCCAGGCAGCCTCTGAAGCCAGTGTTCTTGCTCGAACACCAGCTTCATAGGCAATCAGAAAGCTGGGCAATGGGTCATGATCCGCTGCCCGACTTCCTGATATTCGAGGCACAATGCACCGGTATTCGATATCGGCGAGTACCAGAAAAAAATAATAATTGGTACTCGTACTCCAGACCGAAAAAATGGTATTGGTGCATCCCTAAAGAAAATAATCAGCTTCAGCCCAGTGCTAACACCCAAGGGTGTAACTACCACCAATACAGGTGATATAGCAGCTAATGGGTCCTGATAGCAGGGAAACCAAAACCATGTCTAAAAATGGATGTCAAAACAAAAAAGTTCACTTGCTATGTAATAATGTTCCTGCACACTGTGAAAGATGACTCTGACTGCTGACTGGTGATCACCCTTCCAGTGGCGTCACAAAAAAAGTTGGAAAAATGGCAATGCTGTATAAAGTACGGCTGAGATTTGTAGTCCTCTATAGAGGGTCCTATTCTGCATTGCTGCAATGCAGAATGGGGCCTGCTATAGAGCACTACAAATACCAGCAGTACTTTATACAGCACGTCCATCAGTTGGGCTACAAAAAAAATTATTCTTAATTCTTAAAAACAAATCTCTTATCTTAGTCCTTATTTTCTTCAACTTTAACCCATAAAGGAAATGATTCATAACTGGCATCACAACTAAAATCTGCACAGATGTATAGACTCTCAGTTCATGGGGCGGCTTAGCCGTAGCAAATCGGTAGATTAGGATCTCAAAGAGGGTATAAGTTACATAAACTACAATGCTTATCAAGTGCGGAGTACAGGTCTGAAGGGGCTTGTCTTTAACTGCCTTTGATGACCTCACACAGACCTTAAAAATCTGTATATAGGTATAAAATATAAAGAGTGGTGGCATGACCCCCAACAATGTTGTAGTCACAAACAGTCCATAGAGAATGTTCAATGTTGTGTCAATGCAAGAGAGCCTCACCACTGACCAATTGTCACAGTAGATCTTCAGGATTTCTGAGGAACATAATGAAAGTCTGACTGTCAAAATCAACTGAGTGCCAAACAATATAATAGGATTCAGATAAGCTCCAGCAATCCCTTTGAATTCAGTCAATAAGGTCACGATGCTGGTGTTTCTCAGCGGGTTACAGATGCACACATAGCGGCCATAGGCCATAGCTGCCAGTATGGTCATCTCAAATGACACATAGGTGTGGAGGCAAAATACTTGTATCAGGCAGCGTGTGTATGAGTTTTCTGAAGAAGGTTTATGAAGAGAGGGGGGTAGAAGGACCAACTGCCGTAGATTTCATTTAAACACAATAGGGATATAAAAATGTACATTGGCTCATGTAGACTTCTGTTCAGTATGATGGTAGCGATCAGCACACCATTGTAAACGTGAGTTAGGACGTACCCAAATAAAACTAAGACACAATAAAGAAACCTTAAAGAAGAACTATGGGGTTAAGGCTTTTCCCCATAGTTCTCCTTAGGGTAACGGGAGTACACAAACTAGCGTCCTGCAGCTCGCGGTATACTGAGACGCCGCAGCTGAAGCGGATCCCGACAATTATGCCGGGATCCGCCCAGCTGCATGAGTGACAGCTGGCTCTGCCTATCTAGAGGCAGAGCCAGCTGTACCCGCCCCCTCCCCTGTCCGTTCCGCCAGTCAGCGCTGGTGGATCGGAGCAGGGAGGGGGGAATCCAGTCCCTCCCCCGTCACGGCAGAGAGTCGTGACAGGATCGAGAGGTGAGCGAACGCCGGTATGTGTTCGCTCACCTCCCGTTCTACTGAGCCGACCTGTGGCAGTCTCATTGTCACAGGTCGGCTAGAACTATGAGGTGAGGTGAAAAGTACTCGCCTCATAGTTCTCCTTTAATGAAGTTATATCTCCAAAGCTAAGTGTCTTTATGGAAGGTTGATAGAAGTTGGCATTGTCCATCTTGTTCTGTGACCTACAAAAATAAAATAACACATGGATTTACACAACCCTGCCAGACAGCAGAGCCAGTTTGGTGGCCTACCTTATCTCAACTGCAGTTGGGCAATACAGATTGATTACACCCCAAACCCAACCCCTGACAGTAAAGCAATTGCAGCACACCGAAAAGGTCACCACTCTTCTTACTCCCGTCATCATGTTCCTTTTCTGCTCATGTGCAAACCTCATACCTGGTTGGCTCCTAATGCTGGACCTCCCACTTTCAAAGTCAGCCCTACTGCCAGGCGTTCGGCTGGAAATCAAGACAGTCGAATTTCAAGGCCTAGGCACCTAGGGAACATATCCTGGGTCTTCAATCTGGTACCCTGATTGTTTGGGCTGGGACTGCCATTAAAAATAGTAAGTACCTATTATACTGACCTGTCCCCAGCTACTTGTCCGCAATCCTACCACAGAGGTGCCCACTACCTTGTGTGTGTTTCCAACAGGCACCTGTATTGAAAGAGAAGGGTATCATGATTTATGGTGCCAAGTCACTCAGGTCCACTTCACTGCAATCAACAGGTCCACAGTAATGGATGGTACTTGAATTTTCTGCACCATCAACACCTTGTCTACAGAGTTCACTTCTTGGATTGGACATGTATAGTCCAACCACTCCCTACTTTGACCCATTGCTGCATCTGCACATACCTCCACTCTGCTCTACCTTCCCCATGTTGAAAGGCATGTGGCCTGGTCTGATACAGGAAGGGGGGGCACATGCTGTCCTATATTTCCTGGCCACCCTGGTTGCATGCTTAGATAAGGGTCTGGTTGGAATATGCAGGAAAAACTCCACATAGTTACTTTCCCTTTTCTTTAAAATAAAATGTGTACTGCCACTTTAATGTTTTAAACGTTATCTGACTCTGCGATGAAACATATTTTTACACTATGTATATACCAATTAGAGGGGTCCGGGTAGTTCCTATCAAACTCTCAGTAAGGATTAAGAGAGAGCAGATGATACTGCAGTGTAAAAATGGATGAAATGTGAAATGTACTAGAGAGAGACATGCATAATAGATGTTGTTTTGAAGGGCATTTAAAGGTGTCAATAATAGTGTAGTCAGGGCCGGTGCTAGGATTTTTGCCTACACAGGCAAACTTGCATTTTTGCGTGAAATGTCATGAAAACCAATGATTTGGAGGGGTGTCCCAATACTTTTGGCAATATAGTGTATCTACTGCTAGCAAGCGGTAGATACATGCAAAAACATTTTTTTTTTAAAAACCTTTTAAAAAGGCTTTAAACTTACCTGTCTCTTCGCTGCACGCTCCCGTGTGAACATCTGAATAGTCTTGGGCGGCCGCAAAGGATCTTAGGGAGGGCGCATGTGCTCTTCAGATGTTCGGCCGGGAGACGAGGAGAGACACAAGGCAAGTCTATGGAGCAGCGTGCACCCGCACAGATACAGTGGGACAGCGGAGAAGAGGAGGACAGAGGAGTCATTTAAGGTCTGGTTCACACCTGGGCGTTCCTACACGCTGTAAAACGCTCAACATGTGAAAACCAATGATTGCCTATGGGCATGGTTCCCACCTGGGCGCTTTACAGCACGTAGGAACGCGCTGCAAAACGCTCTACGCCCAAAGAAGTACAGGTGCTACTTTGGGGCGTTTTGCCGCGCGTTTACATTGGTATTCCCGAGTGTGGATCGGGGTTAACAAAGCGGTAACCCCGAGCCACACTCGGGAATACAGCGTACAGGTCTTACCTTGTCCGCGATCCCCGCTGTGTCCTCCGGCGGCTGCCGACTTCCGGGTTACGTCCCTTGCGAGCGGCCGCGTCGCAGGGGGCGGAGCCGGCGGGAAGTTTAAACGTTTTTTTTTAAATAGAGAAAATAAAGGGGGGAAAAAATCATACCGCCAGTGAAACGAGTTTCACTAAACGGAAAAACGCGCTAAAAAACGCCTGGTCACACATTTTAACATAATCTCACCCAGTTTTTTGGCGGTGGAATAGGTGAAGCATTCCAGCGCTTTCCCAGCTGTTCCAGGGCAGATCGGCATCGCAAATCGTATGTGCAGGAGAACCGATCTGCCCTGGAACAGCTGATCGGTCCTGAAATGTCACTTCTATCCGACTTTGTGAGTGCGGTGAAATGTGAGATCGCAGTCGGATAGAAGTGATTTTTCAGGACCGATCAGCTGTTTCAGGGCAGATCGGTTCTCCTGCACTTGTGATTTGCGATGCCGATCTGCCCTGGAACAGCTGGGAAAGCGCTGGAATGCTTCACCTATTGGCGGTCACACATTTCACCGCCGAAAAACTGGGCAGGATTACGTTAAAACGTGTGACCACGTCACCGGTCACACGTTCTAACGTAGTCACAACCTTTGATAGAACACCGCCATCAGCGGTGTATGGCCGGTACCCATGTGAGGGATCTGGGGGGCCTCTTACATGGGTATCAACTGTACCGGGGCGGCATGGCAGAGGTGACAGGGGAGGGGGTGGAGAAGGCCAGGCCCCAGCAGCAGCACGTAAGAGGAGTTGGAAGGAAGTACAGGGAAAGGGATCCCGACGGCCAGCCCAGCCCACCTGGGACCCTGCAGAGCCCACCATAGAGAGTCTCAGGTGGGCTATGCAGGATCTATGGTGTGCTCTGCAGTTTCACAGGTAAGTCCAGCACTCTACTGCAACATTAGAGACAGCTAAGATAAAATCTTGCACCAGGGCCCTTTGGTTATTAGGTCCGCCACTGATGCTGCTTGTAGCAAGGCTTGTGTGTCAGCTGTAGCCCTCCTGTACTTACCAGCGGCTACCCCTCCTCTTGATTCCACTTCCGTGTTTGGCTCAGCACCTGGATTGCAACCGGGCAGGGCTTGTCGGGGACAAAAAAGTCTGGACGCCGGCACGTGCGTCAATAAATAGACGTACTTCTACCTTTGGAGTGTCGGTGTCCATACTTTTTTGTATCACTGGACGGTAGCCATCCGTCGACTGCCGATGCACCCAACCATTCTTATTATAGATAAGCGGTCAGGAGTGCAATGGGTATATGGATTGTAGGGCTTGTCGGGGGTCACGTGATTTGGTTGCTTGGTCTAAAATGCCCAGGCCTATTTTTTGTCTCAGGCCTGCCCTGATGGGATTGGTTATCTGAGGCCGAAGGAGTAAAAAGAATAAGTGCACTTTGTTTTAAAGAGCACTGAACCTTTAAGCCTTGAGACTTAAAGGAGAACTATGAGGGGGGAGTGCTTTTCACTCACCTCATAGTTCTAGCCGACCTGTGACAATGAGACTGTCACAGGTCGGCTCAGTAGATCGGGAAGTGAGCGAACACATACCGGCGTTCGCTCACCTCTCGATCCTGTCATGGCTATCTGCTGTGACAGGGGAGGGGCTGGATTTCCCCCTCCCCGCTCCGATCCGCCAGCGCTGACTGGCGGAACGGACGGGGGAGGGGGCGGGTACAGCTGGCTCTGCCTCTAGATAGGCAGAGCCAGCTGTCACTCACGCAGCTGGGCGGATCCCGGCATAATTGTCGGGATCCGCTTCAGCTGCGGCGTCTCAGTATAGCGCGAGCTACAGCTCCCGCTATACTGAGACTTGGGTGACGGGATGACGCTAGTTTGTGTCCTCCCGTTACCCAAAGGAGAACTATGGGGAAAAGCCCCGACCCCATAGTTCTCCTTTAACCTGCCCCTATAACTTTACACTTGCCCTAAAGGTAACGATTCATTGACCACTAAAATGAGCCCTTACACCTCCGCTACACTGGGTCCTCAACACTTAACCGTCTATTGCAGCTGAATGACTTTCTGATGGGCATATTCCTGACACTTCTGGATAATGTCAAGTTTGGCACACCACACATCTCCACTGACCCATCATCATGATGGGCTGCTTAACTGGCCCAAAGCAATGCGCAGAAGGAAGGAGCGGGCAAGCTTTAACATTTCCAGGGCGTCCAAAGACTTCACTCATTAGAGAAGCCCAACATTGGGGTGTGAGGTCAAGGACTTGGAGGTATGTACCTCTAATTGCTTGGACATTCGCACAATAAGTCCATGCAAGATATTTGAGATGCGTTTATATTTATAATTATTATTATTGTTATTATTATTGTTATTTGATTATTGTTATGCTAACAACACAACAGTAATAACATAACAATAATTGAATAATAATATAGCAATAATAGTATAATAATATAACAATAATAGTTTATTTCAAGCAATACTGCCTTTATCTTCATGTATCAGAAATGAAATCTGTGTAGCTAATTACGACATTAATTAGCATTGTTACATGTTTAACGTTATGTTCTTTGGCTCCCATGACACCCCCAGTGGGATTGCTCATTTGTACAGGTTTTAAATGCCTGTCAACTAATTGGAATCCACATTGTGCAGATGTAGTGACAATGCTGTAAAAGACTCATCACCAAGCGATCCTAATGACCTCCCTCGGCATGGCTGATCTCACAGTATCTGCAGAATAATTGCTCCCGATGGATAAAACTGTAACATAACGCATCATTATCATCTGCAGTCAGTTATGAGGGTTCCCCATTGGGCAACTATTGATGAGTCTTGTTATCTTAGGTTGCCACTGGGGATTGGGGACGTTAAGAAGTTTAATTGTAATACTAATGAGCTTTAAGAAATGGCTTAATATGCCCGCTTAGAAATGTAGAAAACATTATAGACATTTTTTAAAATGTAAAATAATCAGAAAAGGGAAATAAATAGAAAAGCAATAAAACACGGAAACAACGACAATAAATGCTAAAATATATATTATGTGGAAATGTGATTATTGAATGTATTCTTTTTACATTTCCTGATTTTGATTTGGGTTATTGTCCCAGCAGCGGTTACTTGCAGTCTTACAGCTTTAGGATAAGAGCTATATATTGTGTATATTCTTCCTGTGGTTTTTTTTAAGGTTTCCTCCCAAATTAAAAAATAAAATAAAAAAAATACTAAACTTAAAGGAGAACTATGAGGGGGGTGCTTTTCACTCACCTCGTAGTTGTAGCCGACCTGTGACAATGAGACTGTCACAGGTCGGCTCAGTAGATCGGGAGGTGAGGGAACACATACCGGCGTTCGCTCACCTCTCGATCCTGTCACGGCTCTCTGCTGTGACAGGGGAGGGGCTGGATTCCCCCCTCCCCGCTCCAATTCGCCAGCGCTGACTGGTGGAACGGACGGGGGAGGGGGCGGGTACAGCTGGCTCTGCCTCTAGATAGGCAGAGCCAGCTGTCAGTCACGCAGCTGGGCGGATCCCGGCATAATTGTCGGGATCCGCTTCAGCTGCGGCGTCTCAGTATACCGGGGGGGCTGTAGCTCGCGGTATACTGAGCTTAGGGTGACGGGAGGACGCTAGTTTGTGTCCTCCCGTTACCCTAAGGAGAACTATGGGGATAAGCCCTAACCCCATAGTTCTCCTTTAAAAAGAAACTATGTTGGTCTTGGGTGAATTTTATTTTAAAATG